TATATATATATATACACACACACACACACACACACACACACACACACACACACACACACACACACACAATTATTGAGTAAAACAGCACAGCACAAAATAAAAAAGATAAAACATTGGACCTTCATGGATCTTTTCATTTCAAATGCGTCATATTCAGGGGGTGTCATCAGCAAGGCCAAGACCACTTCCTCAAAATCTGACTTCAAAGCCTTTTTCAGTGCATCTGCCAAAGGCTGAAGCATAAAAAAGTTATTTACATAATACAATATGTTGCACACACACACACACACACAATTGTTGAACTGTCAGCTATTTAGAGTTTTCCTTTAATGCATTAGAATAAAGCTGAGTATGTGACCTTATGACTTAAGAGTGCCATCTGCTGGTAAAAGCAACATCTGCTCTTGACCTTTGAAACTATTGGCATAATCATAGTTCAATCGTACTGTATTTAATGAACTATAACAATCATAGTTTTTTTAAATCCTTGGACCATGTTTAATGCATGTACATGATGCCACTGATGTGCTCGACTTCCTAATTTTGCTCGCAGTTCTATTTTGTGTCTATTTGTCATCTTTAAAACTATCTTGAAAATCTGAGTCAAAGCTTATATTTCAATTAAAAATAACTGAGGATTAATTAGAGAATTAATCAATTAACTGAAAATAACATCCTCCATCCTCACATTTACATGCAGACCACCTTTACACATTTAAACAGGCCAAAGACAAACATTGTTGGATGTGAATATGCTTACTTTTCCTGTGCTCTGCTGATAAGCTTCTTTGATCTGTTGTCTTTGTGCATTGCTCTTCTTTGCTATCAACTCCACAATAGTGGCTTCATCCACACCTTCATGAGAAGAAAACAGATGAAAGTGAGCAGCTTTTTATGATCAAACTACAGCGTAGTTCTGGTGGGTTAAAATGAGCAATTACATAGTGCACATATCTCATGGTGCATAATAAGTACAACGAAAAGCCATATGTTGCAATATAACTGTGTGTTGGGGGATATGTAATTAATATAGTGCTGATTCATGACACAAGGGACAAAACATTTTGCCTGTCATTTGTTTTTAAAATAGCAACGTTTAAATTATTTGGATATGGTCACACTTTTTTTATCTGACTGTGTTGATACGCTAAGTAAAACATATTAAGTGAGTGAGTGAGGTGATTGAAATGACGTGTGGTCAAGTATGGTGACCCATACTCGGAATATGTGCTCTGCATTTAACCCATCCAAGTGCACACACACAGTAGTGAACACACACCCGGAGCAGTGGGCAGCCATATTGCTGCGGCGCCCGGTGAGCAGTTGGGGGTCCGGTGTCTTGCTCAAGGGTCTCAACTCAGTCGTGGTATTGAGGGCAGAAGAGAGTGCTGGCTATTCACTCCCCCCACCAACAATTCCTGTCGGACCTGAGACCCGAACCCGCAACCTTCTGGTTACAAGTCTGACTCTCTAACCATGATCTCTCATCTAATGAGAGAAATGCATATTTTGTGAAAATTAGTGCTGTCAAATCGATTAATCGCGATTAATATATCTGTATATACACAATACTGTATATACACATACAGTATATATTTTGAAAATATTTACATGTGTATATTTATATAATTTATATTATACATAAACATGTTTAATATATAAACAAAGTATTTTTCTTAAATATACACATGAATGTGTGTGTATTTATATACATAATAAATATACACAGTACACACACATATTATGTAAACACAAACTTTTATTTTGGATGAGATTAATTGATTTGACAGCACTAGTGAATATACAAAATCATTCCTTAATTTCAAAAACATTTATTTTGGTCATGTCACAGGCCGTTTTGTTCTAGTACTCATGAATTAGTGTCTCTGCTTCTGTGAGACTGCTTTGAGTGTATTCTATGAAAGTATTGCAGGGGTGTGTCCTCCACACCTTTACTGAGAAACATGACAACACTTGTAAAAACACATAAATTGTCATATCTAGCTTAAAATGAACACTTTTTTATCCTTTATTGAAACACATTCAAAAAAAGCATCCCTATAATAGTTCTAACATTGGTATCAGGATCATAAGAGCATTTTGTGTTTAATGTTGCATTTATCTTGATGGCTACACTGGTGAGAAAAATCCACTGAAAACTGAAAAAGCATTTGTCAAGTTTACAGAAATTTGGTTCAACCCTAAAGCACAAATAAAATGCAATGCGTAATTCAAAATATGAGTAAACACCTGTATTTACACTAACGTATTTACCTTTGGTCTCAATGGCTTTCTTCAGTTTTGCAGCATCATTTTGGGCATTAAAATTTGAATCAGCCTTGACTGTTCCAAAGTATGCAGTCCCTGCAGGACCACCTTTAAAACCCTGTGAGGGAACATATTGCAACAGCCACTGAATGTCAAACCATGGACTATGGACTTTAATATGTCATATGTCATAACAAATCACTGGGCATGTATTCATTCTATACCGTGCTGCTGTCATCATCACAAATTTTCTGGAGAAACTTCTTAAAGAATGCCATCTTTTAAACCTTTGAAAAAGCTATAGCAAACAAACAAACAAATAAATAAATTATTGCGAGATTGCGCTTATGAAAAGTCATTAACAATATATCTTTGTAAGTCATTGATTCGATGTTGAATGTTTTCGAAGAGCTGTGTTAAAATATGCTACTGATGACAACAGTAAATTCGCTGTGATATCTCACCTGTTCCCCTGGGAAGTCTGTGAGAGCTGCTCTGAATTGGATCATTTCAGGAACATAACCGGGCCTTATATTCTTTACACACATGTGCAAAAAACTAGGCTGGGCGGAGGGATTAAAACCAGGTTGTTCTGGTTGAACCCGTCTTTAGTCATTTAATGTTTGCGCTGCATTCACCTCAAACTGCAGGATTATTGGTTTGTGTAAGATGAACTGTCACAGAATATGAAGCCTAAACAAAAATGATATACATGGAATGACATTGTTCACTAGATTTAGCACAAGACCATGCACATGCTTCTATTGTCACGGTGTTACTACTGTGAGAGAGCACGGAGCGAGGAACCCAGGAGTACATCAATGCAGGAGACTTCATTTGCCATCAAAGGAACCAGGAGAAAACACACGCAGTACATGGAGACATTCACCGACGTCAACGGGTGCACATTCAGTGTACGACATTCACAATACCGGACAAAGAAACTCAACACAGGGAGCACTATTGAAACACAGGACTTGATGAGGGGAAGATGAGAAACACCTGGAGCTGGTGAAACAATAAACATAGGAAACACCTGGGACAAATAATAAACAATCAGGGAGCAGGAACAGGAAGACCAAATAGGGGCATGGAAACACATGGGGAGCGAAACACACATAAAACATGGAACAGAGTCTGACATCCATTTGGTTTTGTATGCTTCTACTCTATTCATATTATTCATGCACAATTAGTTAATCCAAAAATTCTATCATCATTTACTTATTCATTGTTTTTCCAAAAACTCAATGTGTGTTCTTTTGAGTTCCACAGAAAAAAGAAAATCACTAGAATGACATGAGAGTGAGGAAATAATGACAATTTTGGGTGAACTATCCCTTCATGGCCAAGCTATTCCTGGCTATTGTCAAGTCAAGTCAAGTCACCTTTATTTATATAGTGCTTTTAACAATACAGATTGTGTCAAAGCAACTGAACAGCATTAATTAGGAAAATAGTGTGTCAATAATGCAAAATGACAATAGTAAACACTCAATCTTCAGTTAAAGGCAGTTCATCATTTAATTCTGTGACGTCATCATCCAGCTCAGTTCAGTTTAAATAATATCTGTGCAATCAAGTCGACGATATCGCTGGAAATTAAGTGTCCCCAGACGAAACCAGCAGTTCAATTCCAGGCTGCAGCAAAGTCAGATTGTGCAGAGGACTCAACTGGTTCCTGTGGTCTTGTCCCGGTGGCCGTCTAGGAGACGAGGTCTTCACTGGGGATCTGTCCCTGGGGCTCATCTAGTTGTCCTGATCTCCGTTGACATTCAGGGCTGTAGAGGTCCTCTCTAGGTGCTGATCCACCATCTGGGATACGTACTGGAGCCGTGTGACTGCAGTGACCATCTGATCTGGATACAGACTGGATCTGGTGGCTACGGTGACCTCAGAATAAGAAAAAAACAGACTAATATTAATGTAGATGCCATTCTTCTAACGATGTAGCAAGTACATCGGGTGTAATGGGAAGTGTTCCCGATTCTGGTTGTCCTAATTAATGCAGCCTAACAATCCTTTAATGGATCTGAATATTAGAAACGTGTTAGTGTGTTATGTGTAAGCCAGGTTAAATAGATGGGTCTTTAATCTAGATTTAAACTTTAGACAGGGTGTGTCTGCCTCCCGAACAATGTTAGGTAGGCTATGTGTAATAAAGCATTACAATAATCTAACCTCGCGGTCATGAACGCATGAATTAACATTTCTGCATTTGACATTGAGAGCATAGGTCGTAATTTAGATATATTTTTTTAGATGGAAAAATGCAGTTTTACAAATGCTAGAAATGTGGCTTTCAAAGGAAAAATTGCTATCAAATAGCACACCTAGGTTCCTAACTGATGACAAAGGATTGACAGAGCAGCCACCAAGTGTTAGACATTGTTCTAAATTATTACATGCAGAGTTTTTAGGTCCTATAATTACACCTCTGTTTTTTCAGAATTTAACAGTAAGAAATTACTCGTCATGTCAAGTCAAGTCACCTTTATTTATATAGCGCTTTTAACAATACAGATTGTGTCAAAGCAACTGAACAGCATTAATTAGGAAAATAGTGTGTCAATAATGCAAAATGACAATAGTAAACACAATTTTTCAGTTAAAGGCAGTTCATCATTGAATTCAGTGATGTCATCATCCAGCTCAGTTCAGTTTAAATAGTATCTTTGCAATCATTTGCAATCAAGTCAACGATATCGCTGGAAATTTCATAAACCTTGCTTAGTCTCCTCTGGTCAGACAAAACCAGCAGTTCAATTTCAGGCTGCAGCAAAGTCACATTGTGCAGAGGAATCATCTGGTTCCTGTCATCCAGTTTTTTATATCGACTGTGCATTCCATTAGTTTTTCAAATTGGTATGTTTTGCCGGGCCGTGAAGAAATATAGAGCTGAGTATCATCAGCATAACAGTGAAAGCTAACACCATGTTTCCTGATGATATCTCCCAAGGGTAACATGTAAAGCGTGAAAAGTAACGGCCCTAGTACTGAGCCTTGAGGTACTCCATACTGCACTTGTGATCGATATGATACCTCTTCATTCACTGCTACGAATTGATGGTGGTCAGATAAGTACGATTTGAACCATGCTAATGCACTTCGCACAAAGTTTTCCAGTCTATTCAAAAGATTGATCTGGTTAATAGTGTCGAATGCAGCACTAAGATCCAATAGCAATAATAGAGAGATATAACCACAATCAGATGATAAGAGCAGGTAATTTGTAACTAATGAGAGCAGTCTCAATACTATGATATGGTCTAAATCCTGACTGGAAATCTTCACAGATACCCTTTTTCTCTAAGAAGGAATATAATTGTGAGGATACTTCCATTTCTAGTATCTTGGACAGAAAAGGGAGATTCGCGATCGGTCTGTAATTAACTAGTTCTTTGGGGTCAAGTTGTGTTTTTTTGGTGAGAGGCTTAATAACAGCCAGTTTGAAGGTTTTGGGGCCATATCCTAATGACAATGACGAATTAATAATAGTCAGAAGAGGATCTATGTCTTCTGAAAGCACCTCTTTTAGGAGCTTAGATGGAATAGGGTCTAACATACATGTTGTTGGTTTAGATTATTTAACAAGTTTATACAATTCTTCCTCTCCTTTAGTAGAGAATGAGTGGAATTGTTCCTCAGGGGATCTATAGCACACTATCTGATGCGATACTGTAGCTGACGGCTGCATGGCTTCAATTTTATCTCTAATAGTATCGATCTTGGAAGAAGTTCATAAAGTCATTACTGCTGTGCTGTTGGGAAATGTCAACACCTGTTGATGATTTATTTTTCATTAATTTAGCCACTGTATTGAATAAATACCTGGGGTTATGTTTGTTTTCTTCTAAAAGAGATGAAAAGTAATCAGATCTAGCCGTTTTTAATGCTTTTCTGTAGGCAGTAGCGGTTTTTGGCATGGGCGAACCGGGCAGCCTCCCGGGGCGGCATTTTTTTATGATACATGGGGGGTGGCACGAGCAGTTAAAAAAAAAAAATCCTCTGCGCCGCCGCCGCGAAGCGGTTTTCTATTATCTATCATTTCACTGTGTGGGGAATTGGCAAATTGGCACCCCTGCTTGTTGAGAACGTGCCGTGCACAGAAGCTGTGTGAGAAGGGGAGCGGGGCGCAGCGTGGGGGACAGTTCACCTCTGGGTCTCTCCCAAATGGAACGGACAGGGGGGGGGCCATTGTATAGAGCAATACTCTAATGGAATTAGTGGGCTAAAGTCAGTCACACCTCGACTTTCTTCCAAATAACGCACATTTCATTCATAATATTATAAATACAGGCCTATAGTTCCTGCACATTTTTGTTTTTCTGAATTGTGTGAAATGGCTAATGTAAATGGGTAATACAAAACGATTATGTGGTCCCCAAGGTGAATTGGTTTAGTCTTGACTTCTGGTCGTGAGTGACAGTGTTGGGGGGATGGGAAATCTGTTGATTGTCGAGTGTCAAATAAACACAGAGATAGACAGGAAAAGGTCAAAGCCATCAGGTGCCCAATTTAGAAAAAAAAGAAAAGAAGAGGAGAAACAAGCAAAAGATAAAGGTATGCAACTATGTTCTCTCTGTATGATTATTACGGTATCCATGTCATGAATGAAGGGCTAATGTTAATTGGTGGGTATAACTCTTAAGTTTGTTAGCCTTTTTGCTATGCTGCTTGCTATGCTTATACAACAATAATTTGGTTTTAGCTCAACAAACACGAGATCTAATTTCACCATGATATTGTGCTTTGCAACAAAACTGTTACAAGTTCAGTTATTATTTCCATCAGTTGGGTTAACGTTAGGCCCTGTAATTAGCCAACGGAATTTTCAAATCTGTGTTATTATAATTTAAATCGGACTACTTTCAAATTGTATTTCATAAACCAACATCTCAGACGTTATGTCAAAACATTATGGGGTTTCAAATCAAAAAATGACTTTCTGTTAGAGAACAGGGCATTGATTTCATACATGTCCACTGTAAAGGAGACCAGGACTTAAATCATGTTTATCAGGCATTTTGGGAGACACAACAAGTGAATAAATAAATTATACATCAATATTCCTATGACATATTAGATATTATTAAAATGTTGGGACCATGAAACCATTACAAAATAAAAGACATGGAAAACATGAACATGAAACAAAACACCACA